TATATACACATATTTGGGTGTACATATATACATCTAACGGCGCACCAGGCCCGGTTGCCCAGGGCCGGAACCTCGACCGCAAATGTGGGCACCGGGGCCCGGGCCCGCCTCTGAGAGGCCTAAAATCGCCCCAGGGAACCTTCAGACAGCAATCCCGGCGGCCCCAGACGCTCTCGAGACACCCCCAAGATGCCGTCCAGGGGTCTGTGGCGACGCACGATGCGTTTTAAACTGCCACGGAGGCCCCAAGAAGCCCCAAGAGGCCTTTAGGATGCCGCCCAAGAGCGTCCCGAGAGGGCAACATCGTTGATTTCCATTGTTTTTTTCAAATTTGTTTTGCATTCTCGCTGTTTCGTGCTTCCAGCCCCAAAGCACCGCCCAAGAGGCTCCCAAAATCGCTCCAGGTCGGCCCAAGAGGCCCCCAAGAGGGCCCCAAGACGGCCCAAGAGAGCCCCTCCGTAGCCATTTTGGCTCAAGCCATTTTGGCTCAAAAAAGGCAGATTCAGTGCGATATTTTCGAAGGGCATTTGCCGCCAGTGCCCACCCGCTCAAGAAAGATGATTCGGAAGAACCTCAAGATCATATGCAATGCCGAGGATACCTCAATCGAGGAGTACCAGGGTCGCTTTCGCTGCTTCACCATCTACGATTTTGTATTGGGGGCTCTGTATGGCGCCAAGGCACTTGGCAATGTTACTGGCGATGACATGAGCGTCTGGGACATCAACGGTGACTGGGGCCTCCTGCGGATCGTAACTGCTGTAGTCTCGCTTCTCTTCTTCCTCGACGGCGTCCTATTCGGCAGGCTCTCGTGCTCGGCTATTCCATCCTTCAACAAGGGCAGTACCTCCTCCGAGCAGCTGGTGAACACCGTGAACGTAAACCTGCTGACAAATACATTAACGTTCTGCACATACGTGGCCATGGAGTGCTATTCTTTGGGCGACGCGCCGTCTTCGTCTGGCTCTGGAAGGCTGGTCGGCGTTGTGATAATCGCCTTCGTGTTGCTGTCGAAAGCGGCGAAAATAGGCGTCATCTGGGCATTCTGGCGCAAACTCTCGGCACTTGCAACCAGTTCTTCGTCTGTTGTCTGAGCAGGGTAAACAGATGTTGAGCGCATTTGTGCCCAGGTATCCAGCGGTGCTCAATTATCCAGCTGCATGCTGCGCTCCCTTATCTGCTGTGCTCAGTTCCAGCTGAATTGCTGGCTGCGGTCGATGGCCTGCTGTGCTGTGCTGCCTGTGCCAGTCAACACCAAGGGCGCCGATAGAGTCGAGTCTCGATGTCTGATCAGCTCGACTCTGGCAGTTTGCGTGTGTTTCTTTTTCATTGGATGCATCTAACTGGCCTAGCAGAGCGGATCATTACAGATACACGCACGTCTCTCTGCAAGGCATACGTGGCGCCACAAGCGCGTGAAACCGTACAGAATTCGGATGAGGAGTTGGTCTTCCTGCACAGAGCGAATGCCACGGTGGGGGACGTGGGGCGTCAACAAAAAGGCCCAAGAGAGCCCCGAGACGGCCCCAGAGCCGCCCAAGACGGCGCAAGAGGGTCCCAAGAAGGCCCCAAGAGGGGCCCAAGAGAGGGAACGCGAAGTGAAACACCAAGCTCTCCGCCCCAAGATGCCCGACAGAGGCACCAAGAAGCCCCAAGGAAGCCCCCAAGAGGCCCCACGAGGCCCCCACGAGGCCGCACGATGCGTTTTAAACTGCCCCCCGAGACGCTCCAAGAGGCTTGTAAGATGCCGCCCAAGAGCGCCCCGAGAGGGCAACATGGTAGTTTTTTTTGGTTGGTTTCAAGCTGTTTTTGTTGCATTCTCGCTGTTTCGTGCTTCCAGCGCTGAAGCACAGCGCAAGAGACTCCCAACACCGCTCCAGGTCGGCCCAAGAGGCCCCCAAGAGGGCCCCAAGACGGCCCATGAGAACTCCGAGACGGCCCCAGAGAAGCCCAAGACGGCGCAAGATGGTCCCAAGAAGGCTCCAAGAGGGGCTCAAGAGAGGGAACGCGAACTGAAAAATCAAGCCCTCCGCCCCAAGATGCCCCCTGCCGCCAAAGAGTGCCCCGAGAGTTTAAAATCGTTGATTTTCATAGTGCTTTCCATCGCTGTTTCGTGCTTCCATCGCTAAAGCACCGCCCAAGAGGCCCCCCAAATCGCTCCAGGTCGGCCCAAGAGGCCCCCAAGAGGGCCCAAGAGAGCCCCGAGACGGCCCCAGAGCCGCCAAAGACGGCGCACGAGGGTCCCAAGAAGGCCCCAAGAGGGGCCCAAGAGAGGGAACGCGAACTGAAAAACCAGCTCTCCGCCCCAAGATGCCCGCAAGAGGCCCCAAGAGGTCCCCAGGAAGCCCCCAAGAGGCCCCAAGAGGCCCCCAAGAGGCCTCGAGAGGCCCCCAAGAGGCCCAAAAGAGGCTCCAAGAGGCCCCAAGACGGCACCCAAAAGGCTTCAAAACTCTTTCTAAGAGGCCCCCGAATACATGCAAGAAGGTCCCATGACGACTTCAAGAGGCAGTCTAGGATGCTCCGAGGAGGCCCCAAGAAGCTAGCTAGAACTTGAGCGCGCGCGAAGCGCGCGCGATGGTTCTAGTATATATATATATATACACATATATATATATATATATATATATATATATATATATGTGTGTGTGTGTGTGTGTGTGTGTGTGTGTGTGTGTGTATGTGTATCATGTTGAGAAGAAGCCATGCCACTACAAGCAAGTCGGAACAAACCAGTCTGAGCCACGCGGACGTTGTTAATTATATGATTGGAGAAGGCGGAACTCGGCGAGGCTCGCCGATTCGCTCGAATTGCTACCCGTCTTCATTATCCTCGTCCCTTGCGACCAGAGGGGAGGACGGCGCAAGGTTTCCCTGCAAACAGTGGGGCGCCACTGTCAACGGGCCCGGGATGGTGATCGTTTTCGTATTCGTTGTTTTGCCGATTGGCGCGGGCCTTCGCACCCCCTCCCCCCCCCCCCGATGGAGCAGATCTTGGCTGCAGGACGCACTGCTGCAAGCAGTCGTCCTGAGCAGAGGTTTGGAGCCGGACCTCCTTCCTCCCCCCCCTCGCTTCCGCCAAGTGTCGAAACCTACGCTTAGGTCGGGCCTGTCCCCCTACAGGAGGACTTTCGACGAAAAATAAAAAATACCCCAGAAATGCCCAAACATGGTCAACAAATGCTAAAAAAATAGTCCCCAGACTATTTTTGGATTATCTTTTGACTATTTTTGGGGTAGTTTTTTATCTTTCGTCGAGGGACAGGCCCGACTTAAACCTGCGCTCACGTGGCCGAGGCGAGGCTGCACTCGGCAGTGGGGCCCTGCTGCCGACGCGGGAGAACCGAGCGGGGGCGGCTCCAGGAGCTCGGGGGGCCCTAATGCATGCTCCGCGTGCGGATCATGTATTAAAAATCCTATATTAAAACAAATCCTATGTATTCCTCGGCCACGTGAGCGCACAGGGCAGTATTTAATACATAGGATGTTTTTAAAATATAGGATTCTCAAACATAGTTTTAAGACTGCCCTGTACGCTCACGTGGCCGAGGCGAGGCTGCACACTCGGCAGCGGGGCCCCGCTGCCGACGCGGGAGCGCCGCGCAGCGGGGGCCGGCTCCGGGAGCACGCGAAGGCGCCCCCTGCCCGGGGGGGGGGCCCAGGCGGCCGAGCCGGGGCGTGCCTTTTGGCAGTGGGGCCCCGCCTTCCCCGCGGGATGCCCAAGGGGGGGGCGCCCAACGGGGGCGCCCAGCGAGGGCGCGAAAGTATTCCTCCTCGTGCTTCGTTTCCACGAGGGCGCCCTAACGAGGGCGCCCTCGAGGGCGCCGCGGTGCGGCTCCGATTCCTCCGCGTTCTGCGCTTCTCCCCCGGGGGGGCGGCGCGGGAGCGCGGAAGCTGCTCGCGCTTCGCGCCTCGCGCAGCCCGAAGCGCGACGTCAGGCGCCCCCTGGAGTCCACGGCAGGAGGCGACGGGCCAGAAGTCCCAGACGGCCGAGGGACGGGAGTGCGCCTGTGGCAGTGGGGCGCCGCTGGCAACGGGGGGGTGGATGGGCCAGTCCTCTGAATGGGCCTGTTGTCCACCACCACCACCACCACCACCACCACCACCACCACCACCACCACCACCACCACCACCACCACCACCACCACCACCACCACCACCACCACCACCACCACCACCACCACCACCACCACCACCACCACCATAAGTTGGAGTGGAAGGGGTTCCTCCACCTCATGCTCCTCCTCCTCGTCCTCGTCCTCCTCCTCCTCCCCCTTCTCCTCCTCCTCCTCCTCCTCCTCCTCCTCCTCCTCCTCCTTCCCCCCTCCAACTTATGGTGGTGGTGGTGGAAAACAGGCCTATCCTCCTCCTTGTTGACAGTGGGGCCCCACTGTCAAAAGGCCTTGGAATCTGGGCCGCCCACATGGGGTAACCATGAGCAGATGGAGTCGGAGGATCGCGCCGCATCGCCGACGCGGCTCAATGCGGAGCCCGATTTTCTCCACGCCGACATCGCCGGTGCACCGCCGACGTCGACGATGCACCGCTGGTGTATCGCCGATGCATCGCCGATGTATCGGCGATGCGGCGCGATCCTCCGACCACATCTATTCCGACCCTATCTAGGAGGCCTTTGTTGGAGAGCCGAGGCGGGAATGAGCATTTGACAGCGGTGCCCCAGTGTTATCCGCGGCATCGGCCAGCCCCCCCGGGGTCAAATCTGCAAGCTGGTATCTGGTGGGGGGAATCTCCTCCGCCTCCTCCTCCTCCTCCTCCTCCTCCTCCTCCTCCTCCTCCTCCCCCTGCTCCCCTGCTCCTCCACCTCCTCCTCCTCCTGCTCCCCCTCCTCCTCCTCCTCCTCCTCCTCCTCCTCCTCCTCCTCCTCCTCCTCCTCCTCCTCCGCTTGGCATCCCCCTGACATTCTCGGTCGCATGCGGGGGGAAATCTCCAAAGCTTCGAAGCTGTGGCCGCGCCTGGCCGTCCGCCCGCCGGCCCCCGTGGAGGCGGCCAAGCTCCTGGCTCCCAAGCGCTCGGTGAGCAGCGACAGCGGGCAGGTGTCCCCCCCTCCCCCCCGCGCGGGCGCACCCCGCGCCGCCGCCGCTCGCGGGGTGGGGTGGGGGCGGGAATGGAGGGGGGTTTGATGGGGAGGGAGGGGAGGGGAGGGAGGGAGGGGAGGGAGGGGGAGGAAGGGGGGGATGGGGAGGGAGGGGGAAGGGGGGGGGGGGCAGGAGGGGGATGGGGGAGGGAGGAATGGGAGGGAGGGAGGAGGAGGGAGGAAGGGAAGGGAGGGGAGGGAGCGGGGAGGGGGAAGGCAGGGGAGGGGAGGGGAGGGAAGGGGAGGGAGGGGAGGGAGGGATGAAGGGAGTGAGGGAGGAGAGATGCCCAGCGTGGCCAGGCAGGCGGACCCCCTGACCATGACCCCAGTGGCCAGGGGTCCTCTGTGTCACTCGCGTGCCCCCGGGAGCCGAGGCGGGGAGGGCGGAGAGTGGGGGGGAGGGCGAAGGGGAGGGGAGTGAGAAGGGGGGTGGGAGAAGGGGAGGGAGGGGGGGGAGGGAGGGATGGGGGGAGGGAGAGAGGGAAGAGGGATGCGCAGGAGGGCCGGCATCGAACAGTGGCCGGCCGCATCGTGTGCGGGCGGACGGTCGCTCAGGGCCGCCCCCTGCGAGCAGGTCGGGGGCGCCTGGCCTGCGATCGGCGAGGGGTAGGGGGACGTGGCGCGGGCACTGCAACATGCGTGGCTCTGCGGCGCCCGACGGGCTGCCCAGAGGGACGGCCCCAAGGGCGGACGTCTCCTGCAGAGCTCGCAGGAGTGCAGCAGACACGATGCCCGGCGGAAGGGTGCTGGGCGTGTCTTCTCGGGTGTTGCTAGAAGTGCCCCTGGCCCAAGCTTTCCGCCCCATGTTTGAGCCCCTGGGGGCCTCTGGGCCTCGTGACTCTGTCGATGGCAATCGCGCAGTTTCCCAACCCATCTTGCGGCACTTGGACTCACGATGATGGTGGAAGGCATCGGCAAATCGATTGGTTTGGCCACGTGCGCAGAGATGAGCACGCGCGCATCATAGTCTGCAGCTATACCAGACATCGGTGTGGGAGTTGACCATCGAGAAGTAAACATAACCTTGCGACTGCCCCGGCCTGGGGGCGACCAACGAGAGCCGGCCAAGCGTAGGGGCAAACGCCGTTTCAATGGGCATCCAGATTTTGATGCTACGTTGAGGGAGGGATTGACAGCTACGTGCGAGTTGGATGAGCCCTGTGGCGCAGTGCTGGCCGCTGAGCTTCGCAACCGCATTGAGTCCGCAATGGCCTCAGCTACAGGGAAGTGCAAAGCCGATTGTGCGAACAGGAAAAGCAACGGAGAGATCTACCCCTACAGATTCGTCAATTGCTGGATGAGAGACGAGCAGCACGGAAAGGGGGGATGGGCGCAGGTCATCCACATGCATCAGCAAAGACTGGAAGAAATAATTCAGAATTTGGGACCGGCGGCGCAATCAAGAGAAGATCGACGGCATCTTGCGATAATTGTTGCCATTGGGAGAATACATAACATTGGGGGCAATTTTAAGAAACACGGTTGACTAGCGTGAAAAAAACAGCGAGGGAGCTGATGTCTCGGACGGGCAAGGTATCGCAGACGTATTTGCGTCTTTGTATGAAGATGTGTACTCCAGAAAGCACTGCTCCAGGGAAGCGGGGATTGCGTCGCCATCTACAGGCGAGCAGTCTGATATTCCGCTGGTCGCGGCGGAAGAGGTCGGAAAGCAGGTGGATATTGAAACGGGGCCAGGCGGCGGACCCGGCCAGCATAATCGCAGAGATGTTCAAAGTTGGTTGCGACTATTTGCTGGATGTGCTTGCCCGCGTCTTGGCGACAATTCTGACTGGCGGGAAAGAGCCTCCGCAGACGTGGAGACGCACGTGCATCAGAGTGCCCTTCGAAAAAGGCGACCACGAGTTGCCAAGCAACTATCGACCTATCTTGGTTCTTCGTATTTTGTAAAAATTCTTCAGTCTGGTCTTGCACTGGCGACTGTTGGCGTACCATGCGGAACAGCAGTTGGAGGACCAAGCAGAGTTTCGGATGGGATAGTTATTGTTGCGTCGATCACTTGTTGACGCTCGTCTTGCTGCGCGAGAAGAAGTGCGGGCGCAACTTGAATCTCTGGGTGGCTGTAGTAGATTCCGAGAAGGCGTTCGATGCCGTCGGCCGCGCCTCGCTTTGGGCGTCTTTGAGTGAGCAAAGCGCGCCGGACCCATATATCCAAGAGTTGCGCAAGTTGTGCGAGCGGCAGACGGGGCAGATCCTGTCTGATCGTGCGAGCCGTGTTTTCAGATTTCAGATTGGTAGAAGGAGTGAAGCGCAAGGGTCCGATGAGGCCCACTCTGTTCAATGCTCAGCTGGAATCAATTATGCGTGACCTCGAAGAGAAGTCGAAGAACAGAGGTTTCGGGATGAAATTCGGGGGCAGACGTTTTGCGAACCTCCGGTTCGCGGATGACATTCTGTTGGTCGGAGCATCTCGCGCGCAGGCGCGGCGCCCGTTGGAAGACCGAGCAGCGCGTGCCGGAGAACCGGGCTGAAGTTATATATGGGGAAAACGAAAATCCATTTTAACGTTGTTGACTGGAGAGGGACCCTTGCGCAATCGCGCGTGCAAGTCGGCGCCGGCAGGGTTGGAATGCTGATCGGGGACAAGCGTTTCCTACCTCGGGCGCAAATTGTGCTTCCAATAGTATCGCGACGTCGAACTGCAAAGCCGCATTGCCACGGGATGGGGGCCTTCGGCAAATTCAAAGCAGTCATGTGTAATGAGCTTTTTTTTTTTTTGCGGCCCCGGCTTCGCCTGGTCGACGCCGTTGTATTTTCGACAGTAGTCTAAGGCGTGGACCGTGGCGGCGGCAAGAGAAACTAAGCTTCGGACCGAATTGCGAAGATGCCCTGGAGAGTGATGAGAGCAGTCTCTGCGGGCGGCGCGGACGAGCCGTGCGTGGAGTGGATTGGCCGAGCAACGCGGGAAGCAGTTGGTGAGTTCGAACAGGCGGGTTTCCAGGAGTTGGTCCATGTGCAGAAGTTTCGTAAAGCTGCCCTGTTGCAGAAGACCTAAGGCAGCGCTGGTTTGGTCGCCAGCCGGGCGCAAGGCGCCAGGCCGACCGCTGAAACGCTGGACAGACGACATCCTCATTTACATTCAAGGGGATTGTGGGAGAACGTTGTGAGGATGTCTGTCAGAAGCCAGATGGCATCGCCTTTCAAGAATAGTTGGGCGATGTTGTGAGAATTTTTGCGAGAAGCCGCGCTCTGGCAGCCCGCGCTCCTGTGCGCGCCAGTTCACCGTTCACCGTATTCTGGTTCGCGGGCATCCCATTGGCCTGGGCTGAAGGCAAAGGCTAGATTGGTGAGGCAGTCGAAGCGTGGGAGGTGGGGTATTTCGCCCCTGCTTACAGCCCTCCGATGTCGGCCGTTTGGCGCGTTGTTCAATGCGGCGACGCGCCCAGAAACGCGGCTTCAGGAGTCCAGCTCCTTTCTCTCTTATTTGTCCCCCCTTCCCCTTCCCCTGAGGGGGCGTTGGTGTCTCAGCCTAAAGCCTTGCGACCTCGGTTTTGGTCAGATCTTCCGTCATTTGTGGCGCCTCCGGCAAATGCCTCCATCATCCACGTCTGTTGCCGTCGCGGTCGTCGGATCTGATTGCGACCCCCGCCGTACGGAACTTGAAAGCGCATCGTAGGTAAGTGGATTGACGCTTTCATGTTGGTATATGTTAACCCCATAGCGACGACCATCATGTGTTGCTTGTAGACTATCAGCTGCGTTCGAGTGAAGATGTGAGGCAGTCCCCAGCGGTTGTCTTGATGTGCCATGTGTCTTCTTCCTCCCACCCCCCATTTCTCCATTACGCTGTTTTCCAAAAGGTCGAAACATCTTCGGCCCATCTAGCCACCTTTGGGGTCTCATCGGAGCGCTCTCGGGGGCCTCGTGGGGACACTTTCATCTTTTGGCCGTCAGGGGGATATCCTGAGACACTCGCGGGACTGGGGTTTGCCTTGGTCTGGATGAGGACTCGCTCAGGGCGTGTGGGATCTCCTCGTAAGCCTTGTTTGACCAGCTTGGATCACTCACGGGGGATGCTGTAACTGTTGATGATGAGGCCTCGAAATGACCCACGCTTCGCGTATCCCCGCCGACCCATTCAGCAACGATGCCCATGAGAGCTGACAGGAAATGGGGGAGGTGACGCGCATAGTGAATCAACACGGGCAGCCATGGTGAATTGAGGTTGCGGAGGAGGACGGGGTGAAGGAGGGTACGCACGACGACGATGAGGACGAGGAGGAAGTGGAAGAGGAAGAGGAAGAGGAGGAGGAGGATGAGGAGGAGGAGGAGGGAGAGGAGGAGGAGGAGAGGAGGAGGAGGAGGAGGAGAGGAGAGGAGGAGGAGGAGGAGGGGAGGAGGAGGAGGAGAGGAGGAGGGAGGAGGGAGGAGGAGGAGAGAGGAGGAGGAGGAGGAGGAGGAGGAGAGGGGGAGGAGGAGGAGAGGAGGAGGAGGAGGAGGAGGAGGGAGGAGGAGGAGGAGGAGGAGGAGGAGGCAGGAGGAGGAGGAGGAGGAGGAGGAGGAGGGAGGAGGAGAAGAGAATAATAAGAAGAAGCAGAAGAAGAATAAGAAGAAGAAGAAGAATAATAAGAAGAATAAGAAGAAGCAGAATAAGAAGAAGAAGAAGAAGAAGAAGAAGAATAAGAAGAAGATGAAGAAGAAGAAGAATAAGAATAATAATAATAATAATAATAATAAGAAGAAGACGAAGAAGAAGAAGAAGAAGAAGAATAATAATAATAATAATAATAAGAAGAATAAGAAGAAGAAGAATAATAAGAATAATAATAATAATAATAAGAATAAGAATAATAAGAGGAGAGAGGAGGAGGAGGAGGAGAGGAGGAGGAGGAGGAGGAGGAGGAGTCGCGAGCCCATGAGGCGACGCGCCGAGTGCAGATTCGAGAGAGGCGACGGCAGCATGGAAAAGACGAGACACGCGCAATCGAACACGAAACAGTTTCGGGCCCCAGGGCGCCCACAGCCCAGCCGAAGCCTCACGGCCACGCCGAGCGGACCCGAAGAAGGGGAAAGCCCAGGGCCAACAAACAGCGCCAGACTCCCAGAAACTAAAGGAGGAGGAGGAGGAGGAGGAGGAGGAGGAGGAGGAGGAGGAGGAGGAGGAGCGAGGACGAGAGAGGAGGAGAGAGGAGGAGGAGGAGGAGGAGGAGGATTGAGGAGGAGGAGGAGGAGGAGGAGGAAAACGACGACGAGGGTGGAGTGAGGGAGGTGGGCCGGAGGAGAGAAGGGGGAGGGAGGGAAGGATGGAGGACGCCCTGGTCCTCTTCGCAGTGCCCAGGCCTTCGTCAAAGAGCCGCCCGGAGGGCGGCGGGTTGGCGGAGCGCGCGCGCGGCCAACTCGGCCCAGCGGGGAGGAAATGAAGAGAAAAGAGGCCTCCCTCTTGCCTCCTGCTTCTCTCCTTCTTCTCCCTGCTTCTCCCCCCCTCCCCCCTCCCCTCCCCCCTCCCTCCCTCCCTCCTCCTCGTGCTCCTCGCCTCCTTCCTTCTCCCCCCTCTCCGCCATCTTCCTTCCTCCTCCTTCTCCCCTCTCCCTTCCTCCTTCCTCCTCCCTTTCCCATCCTTTTTGCCTCCCTCCTCTTCACATTCCCCTTCCTCCTGCTCCTCCTTCTCCTTCCTGCGTCCCTCCCTCCTGTCCCTCACTGCCTTCCTCCCTGCTCCCCCCCTCATCTCCTGGATGCATCTCCAGAGGCCTCCAGAGGAGGATGGCCATGAGGAGGCGCCTTCGCCGAGAGGTCTCCAGCCTGCAGCAGCTCGGGCGCCAGCTGTCCTTCGCCCGCGCCGGCGAACCCCCCTGGGGGCCCCGACCGGGCGGACGTGGAGGAGCAGGGGGAGTAGTCCGGGAGGAGGAGGGGTGGGGCGTCAGAGGAGGTGTCCAGGAAGTAAAAGAAGGCTGAAGGCGCTTAGGGGGCTGGTTCAAGTCAGAGCTCAAACTCGCGAGGCCCCTGCGGAGAATGTGCATGCGGGCCTCGGCTTCGAGCCAGAGGCCTGCCTGGAGCGCCCCTTAGTGAGCTACAGCGGGGGGGGGGTCTCCGTGCAGGGAGCAGACGTGGCCCCCCAAACGAAGCAGCGGAGGGGGGCCGCGAGCGGGTGGCGCGCTCGGGCCCGAGCCCGCCCTCCGAGGGCAAGGGCCATCAAACTCAGACAAAACCTCGCAGTGAGCTGGGCGCGCGCTCTCTCTCTCCCCCCCAGGGCACCCCTCCCGCCGCCCCCCCCCCACGGAAGGGCAGCAAAAGGGAATCCTTCTTGGCGCCAAAGGCGCCCAGAAGTCAGGCCACCGCAGATTGGCGGCGAGCGACGGGGGGAAGTGAGAAGGAGAAGGCCTCCTCAGAAGGTTCGGAAGCCCCCCGGCCTTCGAGAGGTTCTCTGAGCCTTCCCCGAAGACATAGAGAACCTCTCAGAAGACGCGAGGGTTTCTGAGAAGTCCCGCCGCCTTTGGAGAAGGCCCTCTCCCTCTCTAGGGGGCCGCATGCGAACCCTACCCCCAACCCCCACGAGTTCTGAGGGGGAGGGTGGGGTCCTCTTCGCTCGGGAGCTCCCGAGAGCGAAGCGAACCCCACCCCCTCCTTGTTCCCGCCTCCGGTTCTCGCCTCCTGTTCTCGCCGCCTGCCATCGCGCGCCGCCAAAGAGCACGCTCGGCCCCTCCTCCTCGGGGCGGGGAGCTCCGCTGCCCCGAGAGGCGGGGCGAGGCACGCGTAGAGGCGAGCAGCGGGAGGGGGGGAGGCCGCGGCCAGCGGGAGGGGAGGGGGCCTGGGCCTCCCAGGCGGGGCCCGAGCAGGGGGGGGGCGGATGGGCCAACCCTCTCGTGGGCCTCTTTTCCACCTCCTCCTCGCCCTCCTCCTCCTCCTCCTCCTCCTCCTCCTCCTCGTCCTCCTCCTCGTCCTCCTCGTCCTCCTCCTCCTCCGCCTCCTCCGCCTCCTCCTCCTCTTCCTCGTCCTCCTCCTCCTCCTCCTTCCCCCCTGCAACTCGTGGTGGTGGTAAACAGGCCCATCCTCCTCCTTGTTGGCAGTGGGGCCCCACTGTCAAGAGGCCTTGGATCTAGGCCTCCCACATGGGGTAGTCGGGAGCAGATGGGGTCGGAGGGTCGCGCCGCATCGCCGATGCCTCGGCGATGCGGCTCGAGGCGGAGCCCGATTTTCTCCGCGCCCACGTCGCCGATGTATCGCCGACGTCGCCGATGCGTCGCGACCTTCCGGCCCCATCTGCCCCGACCCCATCCAGGAGGCCTCCAGAGGAGGAGGAGGAGCGGAGCAGAGCGGGGAGAGGAGGAGGCGGGGGCGCGGTCGGCGCAGGCCACGAGAGAGGAGGGCCGAGGACGGGAGCCGGACGATTGCTTTTCGTTTTCTTCCTCAGCGGCTATCCCGTGCGTGTCTCGTCTCGCGTGTCGTTCTCCGCGCTCCCTGTTGAGGGTTCGACCAAAGCACGAAGCAAGCACATTCCTCCGTTCGAAGAAGTACGCGTTGGTTTTGAGACGCCCGACTCCATTCGATTGGCAAAGGCGGCCTGGATTCCTGTTTGCAAACTAGTTTCCATTGTGATAGGACGAATGCCCTCATCCCCTCCAGGAGCCAAAAAGTTCCTCGAATGTTTGATTTGTCTAAGAACAAACTTGAAGCCTGACTCTTCTACCATTTTCGTGGCAATGATCCCAAGCCAATAGCCTTGGTGCGCGCAACGGCTCGCCTATTGCAGGTTCGCTTGAGCGTCGCTCCTGGTGTTCTGGATTCTTCCTTCGCCTCTCTCTCCCTCTTCTTCTTCTTCTTCTCCTCCTTTGTTTCCCCGTTTACCCGTGACTGGGGCTATTGCAGAGAGTCCGTTTGTCGTAGCCAGCTCTCATCCCGGTGTGATTTTATCCGTAAGGGCTTCGCCCCCTGCCGCCAGCTCCTTCTCCTATCATAATGGGACCTATCAGAGTCGCGTCGGTGCGTCTCGGCGTTGCCTTGGCGCATTTGGGAGCATCATGCGGGGACGGATAGGAATGATCAGCGCATGTTGAGACGTTGGCGTTATCGAAGACGCTTACGGCGAAGCACCGCCGCCCCCTGCCTTTTGGAATCGCCCATGTGGCCGAGCGTTGTGGCAAGAGCTCGGCCAAGCTGTCGAGCCATGCTTTCCCCCAGCCGTTGTAGAAACCCTTCGGGGAACACTTGGGGGAGGATGGCGGGGAAGATCAGGAGGAGGAGGAGGGAGAGGGGGCAGCTTGGGCGCCTCTGGGGCACTCTTGGGGCCTCCTAGGAGCTTCCTGGGAGCCTCTTGGAGGCAACTTGGAGCCCTCCCTGGGCCTCTTAGGGGCCTTGGAGGCTTCTCGGGGGCCTCTTTGGCTGTCAGTGTCAGACGGGCATTCCTGGCCCGTCTGACGCCGTCGGAAGCCGTCTTCGGGGCCTCTCTGGGCCCTCTTGGGGCCCTCTTGGGGCCTCTTGGGGCCCTCTTGGGGCCGTCTTGGGGGCCTCTGGGGCCGTTCTGGAGCCGTCTTGGAGGCTTCTTGGGCGATCTAGGGGCGATCTTTGGGGGCTCTTGGGCCGTCTCGGTGCCCTCTTTGGGCCGTCTTGGGGGCTTTTGGGCCGTTCTGGAGCCATCTTGGAGGCCCCTTGGGCGATCTTGGGGCGATCTTTGGTTCCGGGGCCGTCTCTGGCCGTCGGAAGACTGAAAAGAAGCAAATGCCAACATCCTGTCAACATCGACGGGGAATCAATGATTTTGGCTTCTTCAGGCCTTCCTGGAGGCCCTCTTGGGGGCCTCTTGGGCCATCTTGGGGACCTCTTGGAGGCCTCTTGGGGGCCTCTTGGGCCGTTTTTGGCCATCTTGGGCCGTCTTGATGGCCTCCTGGCCTGTCTGTCGCCGTCGGAAGCCGTCTTGGGCCGACTTGGCCCTTTGGGGTGCTCCAGGGCCGTCTTGGAGGCCATCTAGGGCGTCTTGGAAGTCTCTTCGGCTGTCTTGGGGCCCCTTTGGGGCCGTTCTGGGGCCATCTTGGAGGCCTCTTGGGCGATATTGGGGCGATCTTTGGTGGCTCTTGGGCCGTCTTGGGCCGTCGGAAGGCCGAAAAGAAGCAAATGCCCAAATTCTTCAACAACGTGCAGATCATCAATGATTTTGGCCTCTTCAGGCCTTCCTGGAGACTCTGTTGGGGGCCCCTTAGGCCGTCTTGGAGACCTCTTCGCCTCTTCGGGACCTGTTGGGCCATTTTGGAGCCATCTTGGGCCGTCTTGATGGCCTCCTGGCCCGTCTGACGCCGTCGGAAGCCGTCTTGAGGGCCTCTCTGGGCCGACTTGCGGCCCTCTTGGGGTGCTCCAAGGCCGTCTTGGAGGCCATCTAGGGCGTTTTGGAGGCCTCTTAGACCCTCTTGGATCCCTCTTGGGGCGGTCTTTGGGGACTTCTTGGGCCGTTCTGGGGCCGTCTTGGAGGCCGTAAGGGCCACCTTGAGACGATCTCGCGGCCTGTTGGGCTGTCTTGAGCTGTCGGAAAGCTGATAAGAAGCAATTGCCCCCAAACCTTCAAACACCATAGGAGAATCAATGATTTTGGCCTCGTCGGGCCCTCCTGGAGGACCTCTTCGGCGCCTCTTGGGCCGTCTTGGAGGCCTCTTGGGGGCCTCTGGGGCCATCTAGGGCCGTCTTGGAGCCTTCCTGGGTGAACTTGGAGGCACCTTGGGTACTCTCGGGCAGGCTTGGAAGTCATGTCGGGCCATCTTGAGCGAACCTGAGGGCCACGTTGGCCGTCTTGGATGCCGTCTGGGGCCATCCTGGAGCCGTCTGGAGCAGGAACAAACTTTGGCAGCCAGGTCTTCGCAGGGCCAGCGGGACGGGCCGAAGTCCCAGGGGGGCTTTTTTAGGAACAGATCCACGACCAAATCGTAAGACGTCCAGCGCGTCGGGCACCCCTGTGATAAATCGACAGGGGGCGGCGGATCGGAGACGCCTACGGCGAGTCACGGCCGCCCCCTGCCTTTGTGGAAGCGCCTATGTGGCTGAACGCTGAGGCCAGACCTGCCAAGCTATCGGACCATGTGTTCCCCGAATCGGTTTGGAGAGCCTTCGGGGAACACGTGGGCGTCTTGAAGGTCATCTTGGCCGCCTGGAGGCCATTTTGACCCTTTCGGGCCTTCTTGGATGACGCTTTGGAGGGCTCGTGGGCCGTCTTGAAGGCCATCTTGAGCGTATTGGAGGCCTCTTGGGCCGTCTTGGGGGCCTCTTGGGGCCGTTTTGGGCGCCTCGTGGGCCGTTCTGGGGCAATCTTGGAGGCCTCTTGGGCGATCCTTGGGCGATCTTTGGGCCGTCGGAAGGCCGAAACGAAGCGAATGTCAAAATCTTTCAGAAACCTGCGGAAAATCACTCTTTTTGGCCTTTTCTGGCCTTCCTGGAGGCCCTCTTGGAGGCCTCTTGGGCCGTCTTGGGCCAGCTGCGAGCCACCTTCGGCTATCTTAGTGGGCTACTGGCCCGTCTGACGCCTCAGGAAGCCGTTTCGGGGGTCTTTCTGGGCCGACTTGGGGGCCCTCTTGGGATGCTCCAGGGCCGTCTTGGATGCCATTTTGGGCGTCTTGGAGGCCTCTTGGGCCATCTTCGGGCCCTCTTGGGGCGGTCTTGGGGGCGTCATGGGCCGTCATGGGGCCATCTTGGATGCCTCTTGGGCGATCTTGGAGCGATCTTGGGAGCCTCTTGGGCCGTCTGGAGCTGTCGGAAAGCCGAAAAGGCGCAAATGCCAAAATTCTTCAAACACCGGCAGAAAATCAATGATTTTGGCCCTTTCGGGCCTTCCTGAAGGACGTCTTGGTGGGTGGGCTCTTGGGCCACCTTGGAGGCCTCTTGCGGGCCTGTTGGGCCGTCGTAGACCATCTTGAGGCCATCTTGGGCCGTCTTGGAGGCATCTTCGGGCCATCTTAGCCGTCTTGGAGGCCATCTTGGGCCGTCTCGGAGACGTCTTGGAGACCATCCTGGACAATCTTGGCCGTCTTGGACGCCATCTTGGGCCAACTGGAGGAAACAGCGGCAAGACGGATGCGTTTTGAGATCCTTCCCGGAACCCGGACGGGACGGGCCGAAGCCCCAGGGGGGTCCTTTTGGAACAAGAACCAGAACCAAAATCGAGAGGGTTTAACACGCCAGGCGCCCCTTTGATAAATCAAAAGGGGGCGGCGGATCCTAGTGGCCTTCGGCCCATCCCGCCACCGTGCCTGGGTTGTGGGTCTGAGGCCTCTTGTATATGTGCTGGGGTGTCGTGGGGAGCCTCTCGGTGGCCTCTTAAAGGCGGTTTGGGCGCCTCGTGGGGTATCTTTCGGGCCTCTTGGAGGCCTCTTGGGCGCGTCTTGGGCGCCTCTTGGGGCCTCTTGGGGCCTCTTGGGGCCTCTTGGTGGCCTCCTGGGGGCTTATCGGGGCATAGCTACAGAATTTTTGGTTTGTCGTCCTCTGCTTGGGCCCCTCTTGGGGCCGTCCCTCTTGGGCCGTCTTGAGCGCTTCTGGGGCCATCTTGGAGCCCTTTTGGGCCGTCCTGGGGCCCTCTTGGAGGCCTCTGTGGCTGTCTCGGGGCAGTCTTTGGAGCTTCTTGAGCCGTCCTGAAGCGTCGGAAAGCCGGGAATGCGAGAAGGCTAACATCCTTCAAAACCTTAGTAGTAACATCGACGAGTTCGATCTTTTGGGGCTCGCGGGAGGCCTCTTTGAGCGCTCTCGGGGCCTCTTGGGGCCCTCTTGGGCCGTCTTGGAAAAGGTTTGCTGCTTCGGGGACGCAAGAACTGCGTAATTTGTGGGGGATTCTGGCCTCGGGGACGCGAACATGGTGTACTTTACGAGGAGTTATAGCCTCGGGGCGCGCGAATCTTGAGTATCTTCACGTGTCCCGGGCCCCCGCGGGAATTCAGAGCACGCGGTCCAAGGGTGGAGATTGGTGGCTGGTTTGGGGCTCCCCCCCCCTCGCGCGGACTTCAACGGTTTTCAGTAGGAAGCAGAAATCTGGAGGGGAAAAACACACAGACACAATCAATCGTCGATCCCCCAAGGGGGGGGGAGGACAAAAACACAGAAATTATTCACTGCGTGGGGATCCCCATATGTGCATCTCCTTGCTGGCGCTCCCTTGGTGGTGGGACTCGGTGAGGACGAATCTGGATTTAAGTGTGACTGAGCTGCCTCTCTCTCTGCTCTCTCTGCTCTCTCTGTCTCTCTCTCTCTCTCTCTGCCCTCTCTCTGTCTCTGCCTCTCTTTCCCTGCCTCTCTCTCTCTCTCTGCCTCTCTCTCTGCCTCTGTCTCTCTGCTCTCTCTCTCTCTCTGCCTCTCTCTCTGTGCCTCTCTCTCTCTGCCTCTATCTCTGCCTCTCTCTCTCTCTCTCTCTCTCTCTCTCTCTCTCTCTATTCTCTCTCTGCTCTCTCCTCTCTCTCTCACTCTCCCTCTCTCTCTCTCTCTCGCTCTCTCTCTTCTCTTCTCTTCTCTTCTCTTCTCTTCTCTTCTCTTCTCTTCTCTTCTCTTCTCTATATCTCTCTCTCTCTCTCTATCTCTCTCTCTCTCTCTCTTCTCTCTCTCTCTCTCTCGCTCTCTCGCTCTCTCTTGCTCTCTCTCGCTCTCTGTCGCTCTCTCTCGCTCTCTCTCTCTCTCTCTCTCGCTCTCACTCGCTCTCTCTCGCTCTCTCTCGCTCTCCCTCGCTCTCTCCCGCTCTCTCTCTCTCTCTCTCTCTGCTCTCTCTCTCTCTCTCGTCTCTCGCTCTCTCTCTCTCTCTCTCTCTCTCTCTCTTCTCTCTCTCTCTCTCTCTCTCTCTCTCTCTCTCTCCCCTCTCTCTCCACTTTCTCTCTCTCTCTCTCTCCTCTCTCTCTCTCTCTCTCTCTCTCTATCTCTATCTCTCTCTCTCTCTCTCTCTCTCTCTTCTCTCTTCTCTCTCTCTCTCTCTCTCTCTCTCTTCTCTCTTCTCTCTTTCTCTCGCCTGTCTCCTCTCTCAACTCCCCCTCTCTCTCTCTCTCTCGCTCTCTCTCTCTCTCTCTCTCTCCTCTCCCTCTCTCTCGCTTCCTCTCTCTCTCTCTCTTGCTCTCTCTCTCTCTCTCTCTCGTCACGGGCTCGTGAGATCAGCCAGGGTGGCTCCCCCTTGGGGCTCCCAAATGATGCCCCTGGCAGCGTTTTGTGACCATGAGGCTCTCAAGAGATACATGTTGGGGAGGCCAAACGGCAATTCTAGCTGAGGCGTCCCACCAAAATCGGCGCGAACGGGCTCGTGAGATCAGCCAGGGTGGCTCCCCCTTGGGGCTCCCAAATGATGCCCCTGGCAGCGTTTTGCGACCATGAGGCTCTCAAGAGATACATGTTGGGGGCGCCAAACGGCAATTCTAGCTGAGACGTCCCACCAAAATCGGCGCGAACGGGCTCGTGAGATCAGCCAGGGTGGCTCCCCCTTGGGGCTCCCAAATGATGCCCCTGGCAGCGTTTTGTGACCATGAGGCTCTCAAGAGATACATGTTGGGGGCGCCAAACGGCAATTCTAGCTGAGACGTCCCACCAAAATCGGCGCGAACGGGCTCGTGAGATCAGCCAGGGTGGCTCCCCCTTGGGGCTCCCAAATGATGCCCCTGGCAGCGTTTTGCGACCATGAGGCTCTCAAGAGATACATGTTGGGGGCGCCAAACGGCAATTCTAGCTGAGACGTCCCACCAAAATCGGCGCGAACGGGCTCGTGAGATCAGCCAGGGTGGCTCCCCCTTGGGGCTCCCAAATGATGCCCCTGGCAGCGTTTTGTGACCATGAGGCTCTCAAGAGATACATGTTGGGGGCGCCAAACGGCAATTCTAGCTGAGACGTCCCACCAAAATCGGCGCGAACGGGCTCGTGAGATCAGCCAGGGTGGCTCCCCCTTGGGGCTCCCAAATGATGCCCCTGGCAGCGTTTTGTGATCATGAGAGAGTGTGAGTGTGAGCTTAACTTATCTTATCTTATCTTGAAATCTCTTCTTCTCATATCTTGTGCTATCTTATCTTATCTTGTAGTATCTTATCTTGTCTTGTCTTATCTGGTGATTATCATTGGGAGGAGGCGCGAGCGGGAGGAAGGAGGAAGGAGGAAGGAGGAGCAGTGGGAGGCGTCAGAGTAATAACAAGAACCCCAATCCTTAGGATATGGGGAAATATGGGAAAGTATCGGGAATCCTTTTATTTGTGTGTATTCATTTGTGTGTCCCAGGGCCCTTTCAAGAAAGCAGGACTGTAACATTGGAGGCTTGAAATTGCAACTGGTGCAGGGAGCAGCAGCTTCGTCCTACAGCCTGGTGGCCCCACAAGGAGGCAGCCGGATTTTCTCCAGCAGGCAGGGCATGCGTCCCGCAGGGTGTAAGCCCTTTCGTCTGACCATCTTGTATCTGCCCGCATTCCCGCTCCTGTTTCCTGTCTGTCTCACGCTTTTTCAGGTGCGCACCGCTTGCGGAGGCTGTGGTCGCTGGGGAGTGCGGATCTTCATGGTTCTTTCCCCCACGACGGCGGGAACGACGGACGAGGACGTCGATGAAAACGAAGACGAAGACGACGCTGGCGTACGACGAGGGCACGAGACCGTTCTTAAAAGGGCCCCTCGAGGACCTGGGGCATCGGGCCCGCCCGGTCGGCCCTCCCCCCGGATAGTTACTTTGCCTCTGCCGTTGGCGCAGGTTCGAAGGGAGTGCGCAGCACTGTGCGCGCGGGGGCAGGCGCGGGGCTGCCCAGGGCGACAGTGTTGGCTCGTCGGCCCCAGCCCCCGCCTCCGCCCACCGGGTAGTCTGAGATTGTCATCGCCAAGTCTGAGATTGTCAGGGGCAGCGATAGGGGGGGCTAGGCATAAGGGGGGGGGGCGCATCGATCCCCCATCGCCCACTGATCGCCGATGGGGGCCCGATAGCCCCGACCCGCCCATGGAGGTGCGGATGCACTATCGGGGGGCGTATCGCCGATCCATCGACGCTGCATCGCCGATTCCAGGTCGAGGCATCCCCCCCGATGCCAGTCCCCCCCCTATCGTTGCCCCTCAGATTGCCCCGTGACGAACGACGACAGCACCCGGGCCGGCCCAGGCGACGACGCGGGGTCCGGGGGCGGCCTCGGCATGGCGCCCGCGTCATTCCTGCAGACCTCCCCGGCCGCGGCCGACGGTCCGCGCACCGCGCCGGCGTCGTCGCCGTCGCCGTCGCCGCCGCCAGTCGTTGTCCACTTGCGCTGGTCTCGCGTGGGCCTCACGACATCGTTGGTCCGCGGCCGGCACGGCGGTGGCTATTATTGTCAGGGCGACGGCGGCAACGCCAACGCCAACGACAGCAACCACAATCCTTCAAGACTGATCGCTCTTATCTGCCCGCGTGTCTTTTCAACGCGCACATGCCAAAGCCTCGATGCCCGCCTTCTTCCTCTTCGATGGTGTCCCCCCTGGGGATCTGTCTTCCTTACCTGCCACGTGTATTTGGCGCAGCCCCTAACACAGGGGAGAGGGGCAAGGGGGAGGGAGAAGGATGGAGCACGAGAGAGAGATCAGTAGGAGGGGGGGGCTGGGAGCAGAAGGCATGCGGCCGAGCTGGACGGGCAGGTCGGGCGGGCCGATCCAAACGGGCAGGTCAGGTGGGCCGGCCCGGGCGGCCAGGTCGACTTGTGAGGAATTGAGAGCGCGATTTTGGACAAGACTGTGAGCAAGCTTCAGGCGTATGCCTTTGCTGCTTTACGTCGGGCGATGGCTATTATTGTCAGGGCGACGGCGGCAACGCCAACGCCAACGACAGCAACAACAATCGCTCTTATTTGCCAACGCCAACGACAGCAACAACAATCGCTCTTATTAGCCAACGGCAACGCCAACGCCAAGACTGATCGCTCTTATTTGCCCGCGTGTCATTTCAACACGCACATGCCAAAACCTTGATACCCGCCTTCATCGTCTTCGCTTCGATGGTGTCCCCCTTGGGGATCTGTCTTCCTTACCTGCCACGTGTATTTGGCGCAGCCGCTAACACATGGGGAAGAGAGGGGCGAGGGGGAGGGAGGAGGACGGAGCACGAGAGAGACCAGTAGGAGCGGGGCTAGGAGCAGAAAGCACGCGGCCGAAGTAGACGGGCAGAGCGGGCGGGTAGATCCAAACGGGCATGTCAGGAGGGCGGGCGGCCAGGCGGCCAGGTCGAGTTGTGAGGAACTGGGAGCGCGATGTTGGATAATCTTGTGAGCAAGCTTCAGGCATATGCCTTTGCTCAGCGAGCGAAGAACGGGATTAAATCAACTTTTTCGCCGTCGGGGACACCTGCCCCTGGGCGGCTGCAAAGTTTAAACCCCTACGGTGCCACCGTAAGGGCATAAATTTTCCAGCCGCCCTGGTGCAGGTGTCCCCGACGGCGAAACAGTTTATTTAATCCCGTTCTTCGCCCGTTAATTTGCTGCTTTACGTCGAGGGCCAGGGGCGAAGTCTGAGGCCCAAGACACGTCCCTATACACAAGCAGGTGCGAGCCCCGGGAGGAGCACTTTGATTGAAAGACACCATGGGCACCTGGGAGGGGGGTATCAACAACAATTGTACTTAGGGATGAGAACGCAACAACGACAACGACGAAAACGACGACGATGACGACGACGACGACGATACTGATGATGATGCTGATGATGATGATGATGCTGATGATGATGATGATATTGATGATGATGATGAGGATGATGCTGATGAGGATGAGGATGAGGATGGTGATGATGATGATGGTGATGATGCTGCTGCTGATGATGCCGATGGTATGGCGATGAAGATGGTGATGGTGATGGTGATGATGGTGATGATGCTGATTGTGGTGGTGGTTATGACGATGCTAATGATGATGAGGCTGGTGATGCTGAGCATGTTGGCGATGATGATGATGATGATGATGATGATGATGATGATGATGATGATGATGATGCTGATGCTGATGATGATGCTGATGCTGATGGTGATGGTGGTGTTGGTGGTGCTGATGATGATAATGATCTGGATAACCATCATGATAAGGAGGCCCCAGAGCATCATGCAGACAGGGAATTGCGATGGTGATGATGATGATGATGATGATGATGATGCTGATGATGATGATGATGATGATGATGATAATGATGGTGATGGTGATGCTGACATTCATGATGATGCTGATGCTGATGACGATTATGATGATGAGTTATCATGCTGCGGCTGATGGTGATGATTCTGATGATGATGGTCATGATGAAGTTTAATGTGATGATGACGGTGGTGTTGGAGGTGGAGGTGAGGACGGGGCGTAAGCATGATGATGCTGATGATGATGCTGATGATGCTGATGATGATTATGATGATGATGATGATGATGATGATGATGATGATGATGATGATGGTGATGCTGCTGCTGCTGCTGATGCTAATGCTGATGATGATGATGATGATGATGATGATGATGATGATGATGATGATGATGATGATGATGATGAGGAGGAGGAGGAGGAGGAGGAGGAGGAGGAGGGGAGGAGGAGGAGGAGGGGGAAGAGGAACACTATAAACAGGAGAAGGGGGGAGGAGGATGGAAACGGACGAGGGGTAGAGCTGTGAGAGGCATCATTTCTCCCCGTGCCCGTCGGCTGGTCTGTCCGCCGATCCCACCAGGCACCTCGCGGGGACCAGAGGCGGTGCTGATGGCCGACAAGTTCGACGTGCTCAAGGCCCGTCCCCCCAGGTTCGAGGGAGAATGATCGTTCACTCCACCAGCTGCGTTTTCTGGACAGTCCTGCACTTTTCAATTCTCTCTTCGTAGGCATGCTCACTACAGGGGTTCGCTTGCAGCTTGGCATCGCTCGGACGTGTGCATTTTTTCTCGGCGAGAACCATCGAGGACCATCCTGGACCATCGAGCAAAAAATGCACGCACGAAACCGAAAAATGCACGGGAAATGGACGTCCGAGCGACGGCAAGGCAGGGGTGTTGTTGCTTGTCAGGGTGGTTCTTCTGCCCTCTCCGTCCCTCGCCCCTCCGAATGAGCCTGCCCTCTTCACAGGCGATGCCTACCGCTGGACAAGTTTGACGTCTCTACAGCTCCGGCCTCCGTGGGGGCCCGTCTCGGGCTCCCGGAGCGGACCGGGACCGGTCGTCGAGGAGGAGGAGGAGGAGGCGCAGGGAGAGGAGGATAGGTAGGTTGAGGGAGAGGAGGAGGAGGAGGAGGAGGAGGAGGAGGAAGAGGAGGAGGAGGAGGAGGAGGAGGGGGAGGAGGAGCTCAGCTGGACTTCTTCGTCTCTGACGGCAAGGTCGGCCTCGGGGGTCCGCCTCGGGGATTTGGGTCAGTCAGAAGTCGGTCTGGGCCAGACAGCTTGCCACGATGGGCGTGAGATCGGTCCGGGGGGCGATTTCGAGCAGGTTCTTCGAGGAGGACGGAGAAGGTGCTGTCCAGGCCGCCCAAGTGGAGGATCGCGTCGCATCGCCGGTGCATTTGCGGCGCGGCTTGCCATGTCTGGTCGGCGTTCTGCCCTCCTTTTCGCCCGCCCGCCCCTCCTGGTCCTCACCCTCTGGCTCCTCCTCTTTTGGTCCTCCTGGTGCTTTTCCTGGTCCGCCCCCTTCAGTCCTTGCGTACTCCTGATCCTCGTCCTTCTTCTGGTCCTCCTCCTGCTACGCCTGGTCTGGCTGGTGTTCAGTTCTCCGTCCCACGTGGCACAGAAGGAGGATGTGGCGGAGGAGGAGGAGGAGGAGGCGGACTGAGGAGGAGGAGGAGGAGGGGGAGGAGGAGGAGGATGAGGAGGAAACAGAGGATGATGATGAGGAGGAGGCCTGCACGTGGGCTCCAGGTCCCCCAGGGGTCCTGGTTGGTTTTAGGCCCTCGCCTTTCTGCGTTTTTCAATGTCGCAATTCTCTCTCTCTCTCTCACTCTCTCTCGCACACACATACACACACTCTCTCACTCTCTCCCTTTCTCCCTCACTCTCTCCCTCTCTTTCCCTCTCTCTCTCTCTGGGTGACGCTGTGACTGCTTTCCTTCTCTTTGTGGGCGGAGGTGGTTCAATCGATTCCCTCTGTGTGTGTGGGGTACCTACAGATTCTCTTTGTTTGTGGGCGGCACACATCGATTCCTAATTTCGTTTGAGGGGGAGTCTGGCCCTGGGGAAAGGTCCAAGGCAAAAAAAATGCCCTCTGGATCCACTGGTCCTTGTTTTTTCGGGGCCACAACAAATGAGACCAGCGGATCCACAGTGACTTCTGTTTTTTTCTGGGGCCTTTCCCCCAGTGCCCAGCCCCCATTGCGAGGAGGCAGCGCCAGGGACCGACGGCAGCCAGCCTGTCCATGGGCGGCAAGCCAAGCCCTGTCGTCAGCGCCTCTCCTCCTCCTCCTCCTCCTCCCAAGTCTCCTGTCCCTCCATCATTACTACGGATTCCCTACTACGTAAGAGAAGCTTGCGAATGATGCCCTTGCCGAGGATTGTTTATTACGGACTCCTGATTTTGGATTCCATAATTGGGACTCCTTGTAAAGAACTTGTTGCTAAGGGGTCCGTACTATTGTTTCCTTAGTAGGGAATCCAGGCTAAGGGTTCCCTGTTCGGGATTCCTGGGCAAGTAGTCCCTTCTGAGGACTCCAGGTTCAGGGTTCGCTGCTAAGAATTCCGTATTGAGGTTTTCCTTGTCAAGGACTCCTTACCAAGTGTTCCAATATGGTTCCTTGCCAGGAAGTTCTGAATCAGAATTTGTTACAAGGTATTCTTTATGGCTGATCCCTGATCCCCTACCTATTGATTATTGCTACGGATTCCTTACCTCGGGCTCCTTAACCAACATCTCTTGATGAAGGATCCGTTATCAAGGATTCAGTGCGGCGGATTTTCGGTTCAAGGTTCTTGTTGATGGAACCCTTCTTTCGGTCTCCCCACACCAAGAGGTTCTTTACTAAGGATTCCCAGCTGTGGATTCCTTCGGAAACGGACCCCTATTCCGAATGCCTTACTAGGGATTCCTTACAACGCATTCCTTATTCAGGTTTCCTCGCTGAGGATTCCTTCGTGAGGCTTTCAGGCCAAGTATATTTCAGTACGAACCCATTGGTAATGACTCCGTGCTAGTGATTCTTGATTGAGCAATGTTTAGTCGTAAACAAGCATTGCAGACTCCTTACCCGGGATTCCTCTCGACGGCTTCCCCAACATGGATTTCGTGTTGGGAAGTCCTTAATGAGGCTTCCAGAACAAGGACTCCTTATAACGAGCTCCCAACACTATTCCTGACCAAGGATCCCTACCAAGGTTTCGTCGCTAAGGAGCCTCCACGTAGGTTTTTTTTTTTTTTTTTTTTTTTTTTTTTTTTTTTTTTTTTTTTTTTTTTTTTTTTTTTTTTTTTTTTTTTTACCGAGGATTTACCATCGAGGTTTCCTTACCAAGGGTTCCTTACTGAGGCATCCGTACTGATGGTCGCTTTGTTGTGGCATTTCGATGGAGGATTCCATGCTCAGGGTTCTTGCAACAAAGGGTTCACTAATGAGAGTCCCCTCGTGCGGATCCCTTGCTGAGGAAGTCCTTCCTGAGGATGTCTTTATCCTACGGGATCCTAAGGAATCCATGCCCTTTATCAAAGGACTCCGTACTAAAGATTCCTTACGGAATCCATTGTCCAGGCTGCCGTACGCAGGGTTTTGTATGACTGGTTCATTGGCAGGGAACCCTGTGGTTTGATCATTCTTTTAGATGTGTTCAGTAGCAACTCCTTCTCGAAGGCTCCTTTTTCTAAAGGAACCTTGCAAACAAAGGAGCCCCCCCCCACCAGGGATTCCTGGCCAAGGAATCCCTATCACGGCTTCCAGGGCACGGATTCCGTATTGGAATTTCGCATTCAGAACTTCTCACAACAGGTTATTCACCGCGGACCTCCGTGACGGATTCGTCAGTAATGTTCCGCCATGCAGGATTCTTGGGCAAGGACTCCCTATTATTGATTCCGTGCGGCGGATTCCCTAGCAGACATCCTTACCGCCCGAGGATTCCGAAGGGCTCCTGCGTGAGGGTTCACGATTTTGGTAAGCCCTTACTGAACATCTTTTATTGCGGATTCCTTGCTAAGGTTTCTTTTGTTTTGGGTTCCTTACAAAAGGACCTCGTATGACGGATTCCTTGATGAGGATCCCTTGCTGAGGCTTCCGCACGAAGGATTTCTCACCACATCGCATGCTTACGCACCCTTTTAGGATTTCACATTGAGAGGTGATTCGTCACAAATCATGATTGGAGAGTCCTTCCTAAGGATTCCTTACGGAGAATGCTTCACCACTAATCGTTCTTTTTTATCATTCGTCATTTACTGCGGCTTCCAGAATGGAGTCCTTACCAAGAGCTCCCTTCCAAGGATCTCGTACAACATATTTCTTACCAAGGAGCCCTACTAAGGACTCGTTGCTAAGGCTCCTCCATTCATGATTCCTTACGATTGGTTTCCGATTGTGGATTTATTGCTAGTGATTCCTTGGTACGGATTCCTCAGTAAGGTTTCCTTGCTGAGAATCATTCATTAGGAATACATTTATCGGTGCAATAACCCTCGGCGCAGCTTGGGTACATGAGCAAAGGGAGAGGGAACGAGAGAGAGAGAGAGAGATAATAGAGAGAGGGTCATATAATGAGAGACAGAGAGACAGAGGGAACGATCTCTCTCTCTCTCTCTCTCTATATATATATATATAAAATACGTAGAGGGATAGACGGGGGGAGAGAGAGAGAGAGAGAGATTTGCATATACATTTTTATAGCCGAAATTGTATATAAAGAGAGAGAGAGATACATATAGATAGAGAGCGAGAGAAGGATCCACACACACATATATATATATATATATATATATATATATATATATACATATCCGCACACGAGTCTCAAAACAACGCCAGTTAAATGCTTGACGCTTCGCGTAACCCCACCAGCCCATCCAGAATCGATGCCCAGAGGATTTTTTCCTCTATCAGGGAAGTGGGCAGCACACAGGAAGGGTCCCCTGGGGGAGGCCTCTTGGAGCGTCTTGGGGGCCTCTTGGCGGTCCCGGGCGCCTCTTAGAGCGTTTTGGGTGCCTCGGAGAGCTTCTTGGGGCCTCTTGGGGGTCTCTTGAGAGCGTTTTGGGGGCCTCTTGGGCGCCTGTTGGGGCCTCCTGGGGCCTCCTGGGCGCCTCTTGGGAGCCTAGGAAGCGCTCTTGGAGCCCTCTTGTGCCATCTTGGAGCCATCTTGAGGCCTCGGATGTCCATCGGAAGCGAAAAAGCGAGAACGCCAACAACATTGATGTTACCCTAAGGTTTTGGAAGGGTTTTGGCCTCTTCGGGGCCTCTTGGGGGAGCTCTTGGCCACTTAGAGACGTCTTGGATCGGATTTGGGGCCTCTTCGAGCATCGTGGGAGCCAACTTGAGGCATCTTGGGATATCTTGAGCCATCTTGGAGGTCACCTTGGGCTCTCCCAGGCGCTCTTGGAGTAATCTTAAGCAGTGCCCACCCCCAGGAGGCCAACATGTGGCCAACACCTTCGTAAAATCAATGATTTTGGCATTCTCGCTGAGGCCCCTTGGAGCGTCTTGGGTGTCTCTGGGGGGCCTCTTGGGGGCCTCTTGGGGGTCTCTTGGGAGCCTCTCGGGGGCATCCTGGGGGCCTCTTGGGGGCCTCTTGGGGCCTCCTGGCCGCCTCTTGGGGCCCTCTTGAAGCGCTCTTGGGAGCCTTGGGAGCGCTTTTGGGGTCATCCTGGGGGACATCGATCAAATAAGAGGGGAGCTTCAATTAAGCCCCCCCCCAAGAGACCAAAATGGGGCCACTACCTTAGTAACCGTTCCCCTTCCTCCCTTCTCCCCCGCTCCTCCGTATAGAGTTTTGTTCATGCTCGATCAAGCCTTAATCGAATTCCACCGCCGATTTATCCGACTTCAATGGTGTCCTAATCGGGCCCAATCCAATCCTGAAGACGTCTTAGTATCGCTTTACCAAGCTTCAGTCCAATCCTGCGAAGGCCCTATCAAACTTTAATATAATCTTGACATGTTCGGATCTAACTTTCACGGCATCCAAGCCAGGCTCTATCCAATTTCGATACTATCCTACTACAGCTGGGTCCAGCTCTATTTGAATCACAATGTCATCATCCGATTCGAGCTATATCCAGCTATCAAAAATCTTACAAGGGCATGACCCAGCCTTGTGGCATCCTGTTAAGGCTCGATCGTCGTCGTCGTCGTCGTCGTCGTCGTCTTCGTCGTCGCTGCCCGACGGCGCCAGCGCTGGCGCCCTGCGCTCGCCGTCGTCGGTTGCCACTGGGGAGGGAGGGGGCTGTCACCCGTCCCTTCCAATTCAGGGCTCCCCCCCCCGCCCGGTTCGACCTCCCATGTGTTGGGGGGAAGGCCCCCCCCCCTCGTTGTGAACCTCGCCCCCGTCCATCTCTTTCGCTGGTGCAGCCAACTCTGCATCGCCGCCGACAGAAAATGGTTCCGATTGCTGTAGCGGCGGCCCGTGCGCGTGTGTGTTTGGCTCCCTCGCTGCCCCTCAGGCCGCCAGGGTCGCTCCTGTGTGTTGCCGAGGGTGTCCTCGCCGGACGGGCGAGGGCGTCGCGGAGGGTGTCCTCGCCCAGGTGGCGGCCGCCGGCCTCCTCCGCAGGCGGGCGAGCCGGAGGAGGTCGCCCCAGACGCCGCCGAGCACGCCATCGAGCGCGAGTATGACGCGCTCAACTGGGCCGCGCTGCCCGCCCAGGCGGGCCCGCGGCGCGCCGCGGCCCAGGCCTCCCCCCTGCCGTTCCGAGCGCGGGGCGAGGGAGGCGGCGCCGGCGGCGGCAGCGCTGACGGCGGGAACGGAGGCGGCCACGAGGTGGCGACGCCTCCCCGGGCGAGGCGGGGGGCGGGCGAGGGAGCAGGCGCCGGCGACAGCTGCGCGGCGCTCGCAGCGCCCCTGAGCCAGCTCGCCCCTGGGCTGGTCTCCCCCCCCCCCCCGCCCGGGCCTGCGCCGACGCGGCGGGCGACGGCGAGGCCGCGGGCGACCCCCTAGGAGAGCGCCATTGGGGCGCTCCACGCCGGCTCGCCCCCGGAGAGCGCCCGCGAGGCCGGCGGGGGCGAGGCGGACGGCTGCGAGCCTGCTGCAGCGGCCGCGCGCCAGGGCCGGAAACGCCAGGCCCGGGCGGCGAAGGCGGCGGCTGGCGCCGACGCGGCGGGCTCCGCCGAGGCGGCGCCCCTGGGCGCGCAGGAGCTGCGGGTCTGCCTTGCGCAGTTTCTCGCCCTCGGCGGCTGGGGCGCGGCGCGGGCGGTCGCCTGGCGGTTGGGAGTCCCCACGCAACGGCGCCTCAGCGCCGTCCGCCGCGAGCTGCTGGCTCAGCTGGGCGCGCTCAGCGACGCCGCCTTCTGGCGGGTCGTGGCCCGGGTGGCCGCGGCCGAGGCGGCCCGGCTGGGCCTGGGCGCCTAGGCGGCCGCGGGCGCCCTCTGGAGGCGGTCCGCGGGGCGGCCGCGCGGCGACGTTGAGGCCCGCCGCGCGGCGGTGGCGCGCGCTCCGCCAGCTGGGGCGCGCTGAGGCGGCGGCGCTGGCCCAGCCGCGCCTGATTTGCTTTGCTGGTGCTCCTGCTGCTGCTGCTTCTCTGCCCCGCGTCCCTCTCCCCTTCTGCTCTCTTCCTCCCCCTTAGCCACAGGGCGATATCTCTTGGCTGGTAAAAAGTGTTGCCGACTCCTGCCCCTGGTCCTGCTGGCAATTCGTTCCCCTTCCCTTCCCGCCTCGTGGCGGTCGTGGGTCCGACTGCGCGAGCTTCAGCGGCAGAAGGTGATGGGCGGCCACGCGACGAGGTGGGCATTGAAGTCCAGACCACCCGCGGGGGCGCGAAGATAATCGCACTTCGCGCGTCGCGTTCTGGGCTGGAACCCGTTTCTTTTTTGCTTTGGGCATGACGGGCGTCATGGTCCCCCGGCCCCCCTCCCCCCCCATGACGTAACGCTCCCCCCCCCCCCAGTGCGTTCCGGGCACTGGCGCCGTGCGCGTCGTGATCCGCATAGGTGTCCGCGTAGGAACCCGTAGAAGAGTCTGGTCCGCAGTCGTCGTCGTCGTCGTCGTCGTCGTCGTCGTCGTCGTCGTCGTCGTCGTCGTCGTCGTCGTCGTCGCTCGCCTCTCGTTGCTCGTCGCCCGTCGCTCGTCGGTCGTCGGTCATCGTCGTCGCGCGCTCGCGGACGTCGCTGGGGCTCATCTTTTTTTGTGTGGACCGATGACGGCAATCATCTGGGATTGGGGAGGGGGCCGATGACGTCGCGTTTCGCGCCGGCGGCGTCTTGGAACGCCCAGGAATCACAAAGGGCGGGACGCAGCAGCATGTCGGTGGCGATCTGCACCACAACGCCTGTGTACACCATGGAGCCTGCGTGCACCACAGCGCTTGTGTACACCACACCGCTTATGTACACCATCGCAGCCGCTTGCATCACAGCGCCAGTGTGTGCCACAGTGCCTGTTTCTTTCCAGGTGTCAGCCACTTCGGGAGAAAGCGGGTGACGGTGTCAGCACTTGGTCGGTCTTGCCCGGTGCAGACGCCGCCATGACAAACGTTTCCTCAATTTGCTTTCCCTCTGCAGAGTCCAGAGGGACGGGCGGCCGGCGGGGCCCCGCGGAGTCAACTGGGTCGTGGTTTTGGACCAGAACTTCTTTTGCGCCAGACACCAGGGCTGGACCTAAAAGGTGTTTTGGCAATTTCGTGGGCCGTGTTCGTTTCGACTTCCTTTCGCGGTAACGGCGGATTGAAGACAAACCGAGGGAAAACGACAATTACCCCAGTGCGACCCTACCTAGAAGTTGGAGCCCCTAGGAAAGCAGCATTAGTTGCTATGCTATGCTATGCTCTGCTATGCCATGCTATGCTGCGCTATACTATGCTATGCTATTCTATGCTATGCTATGCTGCGCTATGCTATGCTATGCTATGCTATGCTAAGCTAAGCTATGCTATGTCATGCTTCGCTGTGCTATGCTAAGCTATGCTATGCGATGCTAAGCTGGACAATGCTATGCTATGCTATGCTCTGCTCTGTTCTGTTCTGCTCTGCTCTGCTATGCTATGCTATGCTGCGGTTTGCTGTGCTGCGCTGTGCTGTGCTGTGCTGCGCTATGCTATGCTATGCTATGCTGCGCTGTGCTATGCTATGCTGGGCTATGCTATGATATGCTGTGCTGCGCTATGCTATGCTACGCTATGCTATGCTGTGCTCTGCTATGCTAGAACTCAACGAAGCTAAGGTGAAGGTAAGCTAAGCTAAGATAAACCTGAACTAAGATGAAGCTAAGCTAAGCTAAGATGCAATAAGCTAAGATAAGATGAGATAAGCAACGCTAAGGTAAGGAGACGTAAGTGGGGGAACCGCGGGGCGGATGCCGGGGGAACCGCCCGGGGCGCGTTCCACTGCCCGTCCCATTTAAGATCCAGGGTAAGAACCCTCTAGGCAGAGCCTAGGTAGGGAACAAAGCGAAAACGAGAAACACCGTTTAGGTTCAGCCCTTATTGGACGGGCTGCGCTCTCTCGCGGAGCGAACAGCTCTGCTCATTCCGCACGGTTGCAGCAATGGTGAACCGTGGTCGATGCAATTTTCGTCACGGCGATGTGGTGGGCTTTGTGACAGCGGGGCAGAGTAGGATCGGAGTGGGCAGCACCACTTGATTTACTCGAGTGAGCGTAGAGCATGAACCATCCTGTAGCTTGCAGGCAGTGTGAGACCCAGGCTTTGGTCTTCGATTATGCAACTTTCTTTTGTTGAAGCGTAACTTGGCTGAGGTCGCTACCTGACACGCTCCTGCCCAGTGCTCCTGGGCGCTACTGCGCGTGCCGAACCGTCTAATTGCTAAGGCCTCGGTGCCGAGGCCTGGCTGCCAGGCAGTTTTTCCTCGTTGGAGTGGCTCCTCTGTTTCATCGTCCTTCTGCGCACGCATTGTGTCGATGTGTTCGAATGTATCGTTCTCCTGCAGAGGCGCGATCCTCAGGGCGTGGGTGGTTCTAGGTTGGAATGTGAGGAATAGGAGGAGGAGGAGGAGGAGGAGGAGGAGGAGGAGGAAGAGGAGGAGGGGGAGGAGAAGGAGGAGCAGGAGGAGGAGGAGCAGGAGGAGGAGGAGGACCCGTCTTGTGGGGGCGCTGTCCTCAGGGCGTGGGTGACTCGGTAAGGATTTCCCGCGATGTCTAATTAGGCTGCTCCCATGCGCCTGCTGTTGCTCCTCCTTCCCTCTCTCTTCGATCTTCGACTGCTCTCGTTGCGAAAGCCGAACGCGGCCCACCACCTGCGCTTCGACGTTTGCCGACTGTTGGGGTATCACGTGTCGTTCATCAAGGCCTCTTCGTCGTCGTCGCCGTCGCCGCTGCCGTCGTCAACGCTGTAGCCATTAACCCCGTCATCGTCGTTGTTCCGCTTGGCATGACCGCAGCACAAGGCCCAGAACAGCACGCAGACGGCGTTCGAGGCTGCCGATGCTCAGGGGAGTTGCTTGTTGATGAATATGGGGAGCGGGGATGGGGATAAGGATGTAGGTTTGGTATGACGCAGGGTCTGCTTGTGGGCTCGAGCATTGTATGATGAATGTGAGGTAGATGATGACATCGATGATCAGCATGCGTATTGGGACGATGGCGCTGATGCATGTGGTGATGTTCAGCATTGTGATGCTGTTGCTGCTGATGATGGTGGCAATGCTGACGATGATGATGGTGGTGATGATGATGCTGCTGATACTGATGCTGATGATGATGGGGATGATGATGATGATGCTGCTGCTGATGCTGCTCATGCTGATGTTGACAGATGGTGATGATGCTGATGCTGCTGATGATGATGGTGATGCTGATGATGATGGTGGTGCTGCTGCTGCTGATGATGATGCTGATGATGATGATGATGATGATGATGATGCTGCTGCTGATGATGATGATGATGATGATGATGATGGTGTTGATGAGGATGATGTGCTTAGGTGCTACGTGTTTGCGTGCCTCTCCGCGATGAAGCAGGCAGGGTGCCCTGGGCCTTCGAGAAGGGATCTCGACCAGGGTTGTTTCGCAATCCCGTTTGCCACCATGTCGTGGGGACCTCTCAGACCACCACCAGCCCGTTTTGGCTCAGTAGCCGAACATGTTCTCAGGGCCTCTTGATCATAGTGATGTCGCAGACATGGCATTCGGTCTCCCGAGGGATTATCGACCTCGGTGTTTCACGGGCCCATTCGCATCCATTTGGTGGGAGGCATTCAGGCGAAATGCACGTTTTGTCCAGTGTATGGGTTTATTCCCAGAGCCCCCTGACCACCGCGATGAATCAGGCATGACATTTGAGCCTCCCGGGGGGGGGGGGGGGCGACCATGGATGTTTCACGAACCCGTTCGTTCTTGGGTTTTGGGGACCTCTCAGGCGCAACGCCGATTTTTCATCGCATGATATTCCGACGCCAAACGATTTGTCCATGCGTGGTGGCGCGACCTCTCTTCCGCGCTGCGTACATGTGAGGCCCCATGTTCTTGCCGAAACGATTGTTTTGGGCCAGCAGCCCGCGATGACCGATGTAGCAGGCATGGTTCGGTTCTCAGGGGGTGTCGACTGGGCGGAGAAAGAGGCGGAGAAGGGATATACTATAATTCTACTGCGGCAAACAGGAGCAACGAGTTGCAGAGGGCAGTCTAGGGAGCAATTCATAGAGCGACGCAGAGCAGCGCAGCGCAGCCGTGACCGGCAGAGATCAGCAGGTGGCGGCAGGCAGCAGCGTAAAACAGCGCTCATACTCGGACACTCTCAGTCAGTCGTGCTCAGGCTCATACTAGCTCACGCTCAGGCGCTCACGGGGGGAAATGACAGTGACTGAGATGCAGCTCCTCGGTCTGGCGAAATTGTTGTATCATCGACGCTTTGCGTGTCCCCACTAGCTCATCCAGAAACGATCGCCAGGCGGGTTGCCCTGGTCAGTGAAGTGTACACCTACCCAATGAACCTGACATGTCAGTCAGTGGAATTGCTGAGACTGCTGTCGAAACTAGGACGAGGAGGATGATGATGGCAGGAGTCAGCCATGACGACCTTCGCGGATGCTCTGCTCTGAGAGCCTCTTGGAAGCCTACTGGAAGTCTCTCTCGGAGCCATTTTTGGAGCCGTCTTGGGGGCCCTCTTAGGGGGCCTGGGAGGCCCGTTCGTGGGCCACCTTCGATTGCATCGATCAAAGGAAGGCGGGGTCCTTCCATAGCCTCGCCCCGCCAGGGCCCGAAGCATCGCCCCCGGGTTCCGTCTTGGAGCTCCCTTGGGGGCGTTCTTGGGGCGCAGTTATTTTGGAGCCGTCTTGGGGGCCCTCTTAGGGGGCCTGGGAGGCCCGTTCGGGGGCCATCCTCGAGGGCATCGATCAAAAGAAGGTGGGGCCTTTCCTTAGCCTCGCCCCGTCCGAGCCCGAAGCGTCGCCCCCGGGTTCCCTCTTGGAGCTCCCTTTGGGGGCGTTCTTGGGGCGGCCTTGAGCGCTTTGAATGGGGCGTCGTGGGCCTCGTCTGGCCCGCTTTGGTGTTCTCTCTGGCGATCTCAGGGTTAAGTCGGGCCTGTCCTCCTACAGGGGGATTTTCGACGAGAAATAAACCATACCCCCAACATAATCATCCAAACATAATCAACAAATAATATGGGGACTATGTTTTGATCATTTTTTTTGACCATTTTGGGGTATTTGTGGGGTATTTTTTTCGTAGAAAATCCCCCTGTAGGGGGGCAGGCACGACCTAATCTTAGGGCCATCTTGAAGCCGCAGAGGCCCACTAGGAGCGAAAGCCCGAGCCCCAAACCACTCAGCAAGCCTCGTGTGTTTGAGTCACTTGTGCCTCTCAGGGGGTCTCTCTGGGACGCTCCGTGGCCACTTGGAGCCGTCTTGGGTTGTTACCTGTGGCCTGTTGGAGGCGTGCGGGGGGACATCGTGAGCCATCTGGATCTCGTCTTGCGCTATCTTGGATGCCATCATGAGCTGCCTGAATCAAGATTGGAACCATCTTGGCCAACAGCCGCTCAATGATGACCCCGAGGTGCCAACTTCTTCTACACCCTAAGGTTTAAGCCTGAGCGAAGAGGGTGCCGATTAGCATCGTGCTTCTTTGGACCGCAACGTTGCCCCTCACTCCTAGAACACTCTTGGGCGCCCTTCGGGCAGTCCTGGAGCTCTGATGAGCCCCTTTCGGGGCTCTCTTTGGCGACACTGCCACCATCTTGAGCTCTCAAGCGCCCATCGGAATCGACATGGTGATGAGGCGACATTCTGTTGTTTCCTCAAGTTTTGACGTGGGTTTGGTTTCTCCGGGGCGTCATCGGGAGGCTCCGTGGCCACTTGGAACCATCTCGGGGCGGTCTTGGAGCCTCCAGGGCATGTCTTGGAGAGGCCATGTTGGGCCATCCTGAGCAGGCTTGTGCCGTATTGGACATCACCTTGGGCCCTCCAGAGCCATCTTGGAGTCATCGTCTCGGGCCATCTTAGGCGCCTCGCTACCGCAGGGACGGGCCGGCCAGACACAGGGCAGGGGGGGGGGGGCAGGGATCAAGTTACCACCAGGTGCCCCACAAGGCTGTCTCGCTCACTCCCACCCGCCCTCCCATACTGCAACTAGCAGCCGAGACTCAGCATGCAGGCGATCGCAACCATGGATCAAGGGGGCGTGTATTAGCGACGTTCTGCCGCCGAACGAGGTGGCACTGGCCGCATTTTGGGGAGGGCACCTCCGCCGATCCATGTTTGCGCGCTCCCGACACAGTGTAACTAGCAGCCGAGGCTCGGCATGGGCGAGGTTGCCGTCGGAAGGACGGCCCTCGCAAGCGAACATTCAGACGCCAGGGGTGCGCGGTGCTCGCGAGGGTGCGTTACGTGCGCTAGACGCGCCGCGCATACCCCGTGGGGCCCCAGGGGCCCAAGCGTGCTGGGCGCGCCTGGCGCGCCAGGTACGCTACGTGCGCCAACCGTGCCACTCCTCCTCCCCCTCCTCCTCCTCCTCCTCTTCCTCCTCCTCCTCCTTCTCCTCTTCTCCTCCTCCTGCTCCTCCTCCTCCTCCTCCTCCTCCTCCTCCTCCCTCCTCCTCCTCCTCCTGCTCCCTCCTCCCCCCTCCTCCTTCCCCTCCTCCCCCTCCCCCTCCTCTCCTCCTCCTCCTCCTCCCTCCTCCTCCTCCTCCTCCTCCTCCTCCCTCCTCCTCCTCCCCTCCTCCTCCTCCTCCTCCTCCTCCTTCTCCTCCTCCTCCTCCTCCTCCTCCTCCTGCTCCTCCTCCACGTGCGCCAACTGTGCCACGTGCTCTAGCCGCGTCAGGTGCGCCACGTGCGCGACGCGTGCAGAGTGCACAGTGCGGCGACACGTACGCCAGTGCACATGTCAGCGCACATCGGGACACACATCGTCACCAAGCATCCCTGCCAAAGCAGTGCAAGGTGGCGGCGGGGTGGTCAGTGTTGTGCATTTCGGAGCAGGAGGCGCACCACCACCACCACCATCTGGGGGGATTCACGATGAGCTGATCATGCGGGATGCAGGTGTGCACGACGCCTCGCAAGATCGCCCGAAACGATATACGCCACCACCGCCCGTGACCACCCTCTGCCTCCATCCTCCAGGTGGTGGTGGTGGTGGTGGTGGTGGTGCGCTTTCTTCTCCCTACAGTAGGGCCTCTCCACCAGAAACCGTACACAAGACACCCAGCCCTGAGACCCCAGGACGTCCATCGACTTTTTGGTGCGGGAACGTCGCGCGCTCCACAGCAGGACCATCGAAGCCCATGACACCCAGGGCACCCAGGAGGCACGCAGGGCGTTTCTTGGCATGGGCCTCCACTGTGTGCATGGCCTGTGCGCCCGCAGTCCGTCTCCGTCTGCTCTGCATGCGGGCAGCGGGCGAGAGCGCGGCGGACACGCGTGTGCAGGGCGATCGCGTGGCGGGGTGCCCGCTCGTGAGGCAGGTCTTGCCGACAAGTGCCGCTCTGCATTGCCTGGGCGTCGCGTAGTGGGGGGAGCGTAAATGGGGGGGGGGTGGCGAGGGCGGTCCGAACAGGTACCCAAACGGTACCTACACGAGCCCCCTGGGGCTCCGGAGGAGCCCGAGAGGGTCACGAAAGGGGACCGTTTCTGACCCCCCCGTTTTATGACCCCCCCGTTAAGTCACGCCCAAATTGCCTTCGGCAGAGATGGCTTCTAGTTGGCAGTCGGTCGAGTGGTGGAGGGTCTCGTTGTTAAAAACGTGAAGGCCAGAAGAGAAAGAACTCCCCGAGGGGGTAGAGGGGTGCGTGGAGAAGACATGCTGCACACCGCTTCCGCTCGGAGGGCTTGGGGTCCTATTCCTCACTCTGGTCCTCATCACCCTCGTCATGTCCGCTTCTTCCGATGCTACTCTTCCTCCTCCGCCTCATTTTTCTGCAGCTGTTTTCTGAGGAGGTTTCTCCGCTTCTGCTCATGATCGTCAGTTTTCTCCAGCTGATGCTCTACTTACTCGTCATCCCCTTCCCTCGCGTCGTTTCTGCTGCTCTTGATCCTGAGAAATATTATGCTGCTCTGGTTATTCCACGCATTTGTTCTTCTACAACTGCTCTTCCTTATCCTCCTCCTCATCGTACTTTCCCAATAATGCTCATCATCCTTCTACTGCATGGAGAACAACAGTACATCCTTCTGAATTGCAAAATCTGGATCGGCACTTACGAAGTGTCTGCCCCTGTATCCCGGATCTTCGCTTCTCGATGGGTCCCAATTTTCGATTACCGATCGAACCTGGATTATCGATCCTAGGTTTCTCCATCGATTCTCGATCTTCGGTCTTCTGGATCCTCGATCCTAGATTTCTCACGAACTCGGTTTCCTGGAAGTCTCAAGCGACATCGTGATTGTTTGGCGGCTTGAAATGGGGCTGGAGCGTTTGTTGTCGAGGACGTCAAAGGCGAAATCGCCACTTTCAGGTGTCGGCGTAAGACATTGTCTGGTCGCCCAGAGAGGGGCGACCAGTGAGTTTTTGCTCGAGGAAGCACTCTGTGGAATGCGCCTTTCCGGTCCGTGCCCCATTTGGCCATGATCATTCATAGGGGCGATACGTTCGGGTGTTGCTAGTAGTACCCCTGGCCCAAGGTGCGCCCAGCTTTTCGCTCCGTTTTGGAGCCCCTGGGGCCCTCTGGGCCTCGTGAGGGGTGCCCTGGCGGCCGTCTGGGCCACCCCGAGAATCCCGGGGGTACCTTGGGCCAGGGGTACTTCTGGCAACACCCGAATGATAATTCACAGGGGCGATACGTGCACCAGGTGGTCGCAGCCTGGTCACCTCAACATTGCACTGGGGCCCCGCGGCCTCACGACAGACGCGCTTCTTGCGCGGCCTCTGCGGTCCAGACTCTCCAACCTGGGGGGTATGCAGGAACAGGACTGCGTGGAGGGGGGGGCTTGGAAGGAGCGGTCGGGGATACCTGCCCACGTCCTGTAGTTTTGGCATGGCTCTGCACGTCACTGATCCTCAGCGCCACGCGACAGGCTGAGGAGAGGCAGCTCCAAGACCTCGTCGACATCGAGAAAAAGCGCCTGCAGGTCCTGGAGGCGAGCCTCAAGGCCGCCGCCTCCCCCCCTCCTCCGCGTCGTCCCTTGGCATCGCTCGGACGTGTGCACTTTTTTCTCGGCGAGGGCCATCGAGGAGCATCCTTGATCACCGAGCCGAAAAATCCACGCACGAAACCGAAACATGCACGGGGAATGGACGTCCGAGCGATGGCAAGTCCCCGTCGTTCCGCTGCGCTCCTCGACGCCGCTTCGCTCCCCTCACCGCCGCCCTGCGCGCTGCTGCTGCTCATCCTCCCCGCGCAGCGCGCGGCTCGTCGCCGCAGGAGGAGGAGGAGGAGAATGAGGAGGAGGAGGCGGAGGAGGAGGAGGAGGAGGAGGAGGAGGAGGAGGAGGAGGAGGAGGAGAATGAGGAGGAGGAGGAGGAGGAGGAGGAGGAGGAGGAGGAGGAGGAGGAGGAGGAGATGAGGAGGAGGAGGGAGGAGGAGGAGGAGGAGGAGGAGGAGGAGGAGGAGGAGGCTCACGATTCGTCGGCGGCCCCTGCCTCTCCTTTGGGAGTCGGAAGGCGGAGAGGCGTGCACGTGGCCTCGAGGGCGTGTCCACGGGGCCTTTAGCGCTGGGGGGGGGGAACAGCGCCGGGCTAGGCTGTGATGTCGAGCAGCCAGCCAGCAGGCGAGTCCCTTCGGGCTCGTCATCCTGCTCCTCCGTCCCTCCGCTCTTCCCTCCATTCCCCTCCTCCGTCGCCATTATTTGGCTCAGGATGCTTTGCTCCTCACTGGAGCCACTGGAGACCTCTAGTTCGAGGCCAGTGCCAAGACTCTTTAGTCTGACGTCTCTTTCGAGCCCTAGTTCGACCCAGGAGTTCCTGTGCATCCCTTCGTTCGAGGAGCAATCACATCCATGGTCAAGTACGGAAGGCAATGGAGCAGGTGCGATGGATGCAGCAAGTGGACCTGCAACAGCAGGATCATCGCGAATGACGGCAACTGCGCGTGCGGCCTGAGGGCCATTTTGTGGAAGCCCTGGGGTCCACAGAGCACCAGTCCATCGAGCGAACGCACTGGCCAGAAACAAGTGCGTGACCTCCGGCAGACCCCTGATCTCCCAGGCGAGGTGGCGACGGCGATCAGGGCATCCTTGCTGGCGCAGCAGCCGAATGCCCAGCCTGAGCATGCGTGGGAGGCAGCGCAGAAGGCCAAACATAATTATGCAAGTTGAAGCAGGCGCCCCAAAATGCGGCCACGGTTTGTGCTACGTAACCGTGCCGGATTTGATTCGGCGGAGCAAGTCCAGAAAATGCGGTGCTTCATGGCGAACAGCAGGAAGTTTGATGAGGAGAGCGGTGCCAATCGACGCCGCGGCCTCGACGGCGGCACCACGCCATCGTCTGCGGCAGGCTCGGGGTCTGCGCCGCCAACCGAGAGCCCCCATCCGCAACCAGTGCAGCCCGAGCTTGCTGAGCCCAATGCCGCTCCAGTGGGCCCCGATCGCCTCAAGCAGTTGGCGGCTGTTTCAACCAGCGACGCGGGGGAAACCGCCCCGACAAGTGAGCAGCCACTTCTAGGCAATGCGGCCGCGCCTGCGGCCCCGCCTCACAGGGCGTCTCCCGAGACTAAGGCTGCTGGACCTGCTCGTGCCCTTGGTGCTGCTCCTGAGCGGGGGCAACGACGACAAGCAAGCCTACCCTCAATGCCGACGTGGATGGCTCCCTGTTTTTTGACCATCGTTGGGCGGGGCCCACAGGAAGAGAGATGGTTAGCTGAGCGTGGCAAGCAATGTCAGGTGGTGACAATTGTTGAAACGTGATTTCCCGATCAGAAAGCCCATGCGGAAGGAATTTTTCAAGCAATTGAAGGGTGTTTGGAGTTCCTCACGGTGCGATGTCCTCCTGACGAGCAGACCGGCTGAGGGCACAATTGGTAGAGATATGACCCTTGCCAGGAAGTCGATTGACCGCAACGTTTGGACACATGCAAAACAAGAGTGAGGAACCAGGGGGCAGCTGAGTAAGGAGTGGACTCAGGCCACGGATTTGCACCACTCACTTGGCATCGTAATTCAGGGGACCTTGTCGTCATCGCTTTCTGTGTTGAGGCCTCTGCGCCGATGCGGGGTTCCGTGCGCGAGCGCTTGGTGGCGCTCGCGTCCTTGCTGGACCTTGACATCTTGGCTGGACCTTGCTTAGTGCTTGCAGGTTGGAACGCGACGCCGCAGTGCCTCATCGATTCTCGCTGCCCCGGGGAGTGGCATGGCACTATGCTTGCGGTCCCTGGGTCGACCACGTGCGACCAGATAACAAGATATACAAGTGGTTCTGCGGTGGCCAGGGAAGCGTATGAACGCGCCACTGTACTGGAACAGGTCCACGATGTACCATGGTGTGCGCATGGCGGGCTCGAGGCAGCAGCAAGATCAGCAGCACCTTGGTGGCACCGTGCCCTGGGCGTGCCACGTGGGCCCCATGCCTTGCAATGCCGAGAGCCAAGGCGGGTTCCAGCAGAGAGACATCTCGCAGGAAGCAGGCAGCGCTCGAGAAACACAGGCGGGCATTTCCCGAGGAAAGCCAGGGCGCCTTCTAAAGACCTCCCAGCACCTTGGGGAGCACGGGCAGCCTAGCACGCAGCCTGAGGACCGCGGGGCTGGCGCCTTCTATGACATGTCTTTGGGTTTCTGGAACCTGTGTTGGGGCATCAGTCATCGCGTTCGCGACCTGCATCATGGAGTAGGGCATCCTCTTTGACGATGGCGCCTGCGACTGGATCTCCTGGCGTTGCTTTGTCTGTTATGTCGGCCCGTGCGGCGGTGGCCGCGGCGGGCAGGGTTGGGCCCCGCCCCCGCGAAACCGCGTCTACGCCCGTCGCATATCTACCCGTTCCCCCGACGTCTGTGACCTCGGGGGCATCCAGTCCGTGCAGGGGGCCCTTCTCGGAGACCGCTGCCTTGCGTGGGCAGAACAAGTCCACCTGCGTTCGCGATAGGGCGAAGGTGGCCGCGCTGGGCTATCCTGCCGCCGAGTCGGAGCGCGGGAGGGGGCTGGGGGCCTGTCCCGCGGATCCACATGGAGCATGGCATGCTCAGGTGGTACTTCGACCCAGGTGCTGGGGCACGCCTGCCCAAATCCAGAGGTGGCCCCCCCCAGGTGAGACGCCGCGAGCCGTGTGCATCTTGATGGGGGGACTGCCCGAGGGTGACCTCGGCTGATCCGCGGTGCGTCGGAGGACTGGCGGCGTCGCCTAGCCAGACGCCCGCGTGCAATCGCGGGGCCGTAGTCCAGGATGAAGTGGCCAGGAGCGTTGACGCGAGGCCCGTTTGGTCGCGATTGAGGCCCTGTGTGGAGCCGCAGCCGCTGGGCCCTCGACTGCTGCTGCCCATGGGGCCCTGACTTCGGGTGCTGGGCCAGGCGTTGTGGGCGCCGGCAGAATTGCCCAATTGGGGTTCCATAGCGGGTGGTCAGAGAACGCGGCGACCTCGCGCTCCGACCGCTGCCGCTGTTGTGGATGGGCTTCGGTGGCTTCTGCCGCCGCGCTACCTGGGCGAATGCGACTCGCGTGCCGCGAACAGGACAATTCAAGTCTCTGCAATGTCAGATGGTTGTCGTGCTTCGAGGGTGCCGTGGCGCGACGTCATGCGGCCCCATGGCGCAGACAAGGGGATTAACTTGTCGGGGCTGGGCTGGTTCATTTCACCTCGGAAGGCGCCTGCGACTCCGGGCCGCGCTCGTATCGTGAACCAGCCTGCGGAGTCGTGGGCGATCGCAGCTACGTCGGTAAAAGCATCTCTGGCGTCGTGCAAGCATGACAACCGTGCCGACGTCGTTGCAGAGACGACCGCGCGATTGAATCGTAGCTTTTCTGATTTGGACAAAAGAAGACGCGTCTTGCTATTCGAGGTTGAGGAGGGGGGTCTTTCGCTGGTCGCTGCGCCGGGCTAGTTCGAGCTCTCTGCCTCTCCTACGATGGCGGGCGCGACGAATTGATGGGGCGAGTGGAAGCGTGGGCAGGGAGAGCCGCTGCGCGTGCATTCCACCAGTCCTCGAAGAAGTATGCTGGTTGGCTTGCTGATGCGTGGAAACCCAAGCTGGGAATATTACAAAGTTCAATTCGCAAGACACCTCCGCGCACGGGTGCCCTCGCACCTGGCCCCGCGGTTTCGGTTCCAGTGGCCGCCGTGGCCACCTCGAGGCTGGGCGGAGTTATGGGGGCCTCGGATATTAGCTATATACATTCAGTCCTGTGCCCTACCTGCCCGAAGCCCTCTCTTGTTGTGGCTTTGGCTCAAGGGCGGGAGTTTCATACTTTTGCACTTGTTTGACGTGGCCCAGGGGGCCGCGCCTTTCACGCGGCTAGCGAGGCCGTGGCGACTGTTAGTTACATTATAAGATTCATCGTGTTGTGGTGAGAGATATATCGTCGTCGGAACTTCCTGATATTACTGCTGCGCCGATTCCGCCAACGTGGCAGCGGAGCCATCGTGGAGACCCACACTTAAGTCGACCGCTGGGTGTGAGACTAATGAGCAGGGAGTGCCGACCTGGAGTGGAGATCCACTGACGTTCGAGAGTTATGAGAATGCCGTTCTGTGGTACCGAGCTGGCCTGAAGGAGAATGAGAGGAACCTCGCTGTGGCTCGTCTGTGGACTGCGCTACGTGGCGCGGCGAAGGAGGCCCTGAAAGATATGAGACCGAACGACTTTGTGGCAGGAGGTGTAGAAGCGTTGCTCAACACTTGAGAGGAGGTCTTCTAGGTAAGATGCCAATCCCAGACGCGTACCAGAAGATCCGCAACTACGTTCAAGTGATTCGCAGGCCCGGCGAGGTGATTGGCGAGTTCGTGATTCGAGAAGACAACTTGTTCAGAGATGCGGCCAGCCTTGAAGCGACTACGTTCAGACCGACTGCGACGAGAAGCAGGTCAGGCGAGTGCAAGAACGGGGCGAACATTGACGTCTACAGTCAAGGGGCCGACGACCGAGGAGTTCGAAGAGGCGGCAGAGATTGAGGAAGACGCCGAGGCCGTAGATGCAACAGAGAAGAAGTCGGTAATGTCGGCCAAGG